GGGCAGTTAGAGGGGATAGGGGGCGTCTAGGGGCGTTTAGGGGCGGTTGGGGRCAGTTAGGAGYGKTTAGGGGAGGGTGAGKSACRRRKGCGGRKGGTTAGGGGSGGTTAGGGGKGGCGGTTAGGAGCAGTTGGGGACATTTAGGGGCAGTTAAGTGCGGTTGAGGACAGTTAGGTGTGGTTAGGGGAGGGTGGGTCACAAGTGTGGATGGTTATGGGTGGGTGCATACAATTGTGGGTGGGTACGGGTGGGTAGGGGTGAAAAACAGACGGTTGGGTACGGTACAGGTGGTTAACAAAAGGTTTGGGTATAGGTGGCCACGGGTAATTTTGAAACAGAAAGTCCATGGGCAGTTATGGGCAGTTACAGTCTGAAGGGGTTCAGATAGGGCAGGTACGGGTACATTTTTTTTTTTAATTGGTAGGTAAGGATGGGTAAAGGTCCAGTAGGTCATATTTACAGTGGGTATGGGTGGTTAGTTTTCAAAGAGGGCATGGGTAGGTAAGGCACATGTATTCAAAAAAATCCCAGTTGCCACCTCTGGCGCAGGGTCTGTTTAAACGGGGAGGAGACCCAACCACTTTTGTTCGCCCCAATTGATTTAGATTTTCATACACGACAAATATTACCTCTCACAGGTCGATAACTCTTATCTGGGTAGTTCTCATCGGAACTCTTACCCGGACGGGGTTCCAAACCCTCGTGCATCAATCGCACCAGCGTGTTTGAGGAGCTTTACCCTATCCGCCCAGAACATGCACACTTCGAAAGTGAGTACTCGGATTGTGGCTTTTCGTTTGAGAACTACGGGGTGATACCCGAGGCGAACTTTCACTGTGTTGACGAAGATCAACGGAGTCCCTCAGATATGCCTCGTGGAAATTGGCAATTGTTTTTCCAATGTCTATAACTCTGCTGAGTCCCAATCACGACCCGAAGACCATTTTCCCATCTGATCATGACTCTAAGCACTGATACAGTAGTCGTACCCGAAGTGCAGCACTTCGACATTACCCTGGGCAGATTCCATTCCGGCATAACACTCAAACTCAGAAGTGATTTTACTATTCCACAAAATAGATCAGGTCATGTTACGAGGATCATTCAAAATAACAAGAAAACGGGCAATGGGTAACAACTAATCACCATCCATTAGAAACTTGGCCAACAGATAAGCGACTCTCCTCTGTACTCGTCGTTTCCTGCCCATTAAACGGATAATCAAAGCAGAGATAACAACCCGCTCATTCACCACGTGGCCCCCGATTTTTAACTAGTCATCTCTTTGTCACCACTAGTCTTTGCACCCCCATTCTTTAACTGCAGGTCATCTGGCGAGAGCTTAGTTAGTATTTTCCCCTTCAAGAAGTACCACTAAGCTTGCCTACTCTGACCTAGTCGGCTAGATCACGAAAAGATGCATGAGTACTAGGTACAGTAACACACAGGTGGGGCACTAAGTAGGTGAGCAAAGTAGGACAACAGCATTATCAAAAAGATCCGATTAGTGGTTGACATCCTTAAGAACGTTTTGCGTACCCGTCGATCCGTTCATGTATCCCTGCCAGCTGCAGAGCATCTCCACCTTCCAAATAAGACCATGCTCTGTTTGGCTTACTAAGTCGAAACATTACAACACTGAAGAGATGGAGACTTACCTTACTGATGTTGATACGTATAACTGATCCTCAGTGATGGATACCACTAAGTTCACACTCAACGCGTTATCCTGTGTCCGCTGGACTGCCTACTCAAGGCAGACCACGAATAAACCTGCATCCACGTTCACACCATCATACATGGCTGACCTCAATGGTACGGCAGATAAACGCGCTATCAGAAAATTAGCGCAATCGTAACAAGCCGACGCTCTAGTTTGCGATATCAGTTCGGATGGGTACAACTCTCGCTCTGCTTGCAGTGACCTTACTAATCCTTTTTTTTTTGTTCAACTCCTCTGCAAGGGCGTAAACGACAAAAATAAAACTCACGATCCAGAAAAGCCAAGGTGCCCAGCATGATTGGCGCCATATGCGCTCACACACAACAGTTGGAGGATGAAATCTGACTCCCTCTCGAAATATATGCTGGCAGTATCCTACTGGCCAGTTCTCCTGCCTCGTCATACGTGGGTCGAGTTAGCGTGCGCAGGGAGGACAGGTCGAGCTCTTGAATCAGGTGACATCAACCCACGCATGTGTGCTCAGTCAAGTTGACGTCAGTTATGCAAGTGTTCTCTCCTCTCTTTCTTGATCGTGACCCCTTAACACCTCTAGTCACGTTGTCACAAATTCCCCTGCCAGCGCTGGAACTGACTCGACTTTTCACAGGTCACATACCGGCCAGCTGGTGACCGCAGTCCACGCACAAGCGGGAGGTGGCTGGTCTGTGTCCAAGACGGTGGAGGGGTCGTGGATGGCGCACGTCAAGCAGATCAAAATGACGACTCCCTCTATGCACCGCAGATTACCCTCTCTCTTGATAGTCGCTGTTCTCCCATTCTGGCAGGATCTTCCCTCTTGTCCGTTCGTCACTGCAGTAGGCGCAAGAAACGTCACGCGAGTGTGGGGACAACGGATGACGTCAACCACATGACAGTTCTTTTCTCTCGCGTCCACTCACACTTCTCGTGCGCACCCACTTTCGCGAGTTAGATTGCAGGTTTTCAGTCTCGTCACGCTGGTCTCTTCGCCGCCTCGAGTTAACTTCTTGATCTCCCTCAACATGTTCCGCAGGCTTGAACGTCAGGGGCGAACACTGAGGCAATGGTTGATGTCAACAACACCTCAAAGGTTCGTGTACCCTTCTCTGCCACTCGCCTGCATGTGTTGACCTCTGAGCCCCCTTCTTTCTCACTCTCTTCAGAATGTCCACCCATCACCCGCGTATATCCGCCTCTCTCAGGTTCAGTCCCGCCTACTACTCGACTCCGCGCTCGATGGTCTAGCCTCTGTCAGCCTTGCTCCGCCCTGGGACGAACTGGCCTTGGGTCCGTCCTCTACGGACTCAGTTGGAGGGTGCTCTCTCCTCCACTGCTTCAACCCGTGCCAGGACTGGGTCAGGTCCTCGCTAGCTTCGGACTCCGCCTCTGAGTCCCGGTCCAGTTCTTGTTGCTCCCTCTCTGTCGTACTCGTGGAGGTCTCCTCCTCATGGTAAGTAACGGTACCTCGCAACGCTGCGGTCACCCCATCTCGTCGGCATCTTCGTTCCGCCCTGCTACGAGCCTCGGTGACCACGCCCTGTATTTTTGCATCTTCCCTCTTCTCTTGCTCCTTTCCCCCGTAGACATTGATTCTTAGTCTACCCTGCCCTTCACTCTTGCTATAACTCAGACAGACATCCACTGTAACTACCTCGTCACGCATAGGCGCCCAGCTCCAGTAAAACTTCAAGTGTCTTGGCCTACAGCCAAAAAGGCCATTGCTACGTGACATAGTCGCTAACCAGAAAACTCAGCTCGGTACTCAACGCACGTGTAAGCAGACCCACTCACTTTTCCCAGGCCGACAACGTCAGCATAGAAGAATGGCCTGCTCGCTGCTACCCGCTCACAGCCAAAGACTCATCTGTCTCACCCCTTATAGGCTTACCTCTCACTATGATCCCCGCTTTTTAAAGAAGAATTCAAATTGATATTCCTCAAATTCTTCACACTAATAATTTTAACGCTCCCAAAATTAATAAAACAAAATAGAACTAAATAACTAAAAAAAAAACAACGACCGAAACTCAACGGTCGAAACACGGCAGAGCCTACTACGCAACTATCAGCCACTAACCCTTGTGATGTAACTACAGTCCGAAAACAGCGTCCCATAACGGGATACGAGCGGACATTTTCCGCCTTTCAAAAATAGGGCGTTGGATTACTCCAGATGGGTAACCGTGCCCGATGGCAAGGAGGGGACTTATGACCCTCCACGGGGGGTGATAAGTTCCCTACCAATGAGGCCGCGGGTCGCCCCTCTTTAAGGGTCTTACCGCACGGAACTCAGCCAAACAGGCTTGGCGCAGGTGATATACGAGGGGTCGGCCCACTCAGACTGCAAATCACAGCTTAAGCCCGGATTTCCAACCGTTGGTCTCCCTGCGAAATGACAGGCCAGGAGGGAAATCCAATCAGACAATCGTGCAAAAAGAAAAATCTAAATAATAATAATAATAATATCAAAGAAAAGTAAAGGAATCGTAGCGTCACAGCGGTCTGTAGCCACCGGATTTTTCACGAACTAAAAGGCGGGTTCATGCTCAACGATTTTTTTTTTTTTTTCCCCTTCTCTTTCTAACAAGGACTTCTATCTTGTGTATCTTACCCATAACTTGGAGAAAGGGTACTTGGCACGCAGTAGAAAAACCCACGCCGGACTCTCTATCTCCGCGTCCCAGGGCAAACCCAACGGCTACCACGACCACAGGCCGGTAGTGCTCTGCTGTACAGCAGGGCGCCGAGCCTGCGTGGACCAAAGGAAAGCCCTGTGGCGCACCCCTTTTGTAGAGGGCAAGCACCTACAGGCCAGTCCTCTCCAAGGCACCACCCCGGTATCCCAGCGTTACTGTGGAAGTTAGGCGACAGACTAAACCCCTACATGCCCGAAGCAATGGTACCAATCAGGGACTTTGGCACACAAAGGAAGGTCGGGACACCGCGCCCTCCGACAACGTCCCTCGGTGGATGTAGACCCAGACCACACGGGCGACGCAGGACCCCATGAAACCGAAGTGATCACCTGCCATGCTGGATGCTCGAGCCTTTGGTCGAAGATCCGCCGGTCCAATCGAGTAACATCGCGCACAGCCTCTCTCGCCAACTCCTCTGCATCCAAAGGACGACGGACCTCCTGTGGAGCAAAGTGGCTAGGAAGACGTGGGGGCACAACCACCGGCTCGGATTCAAATCCGTGATAACGGGCGGTGGCACACGATGCACTGCCATCTGAACCGCCTGCGACTGTCGGCCCTGAGCCAAGTGCAGGCCCGAGAACGGAACGACTGGAACCGTCGCTGTCTCCTGGAACACGCGCCTTGCGTCTATAGCCCCATCGTCTCGTCGCTGTCCTACCTGCACAGCCTCATCCACTGCCTATGACCGTCCCTCCACAACAACGTCCGCAACGTCCGCTGCCTCTGCTCCACCCGGCAATGCCTCATCGACCGCCTCTGCTGCCACTCCCTCCGCAACGTCCTCCCCCGCCACCACCCCACCCTGCACACAATCCCCCCCTGTCTCTCGAAGCCTAGCCTCCTCCAAGGCCCGTGCGAACGCCTGAGCACGCGGGTTACTCGATGCCAAAAGTCGACCCCTCTCTCGCTTCATGATTTCGCGTGATACATCTGGAGACTCAGTCGTCGTCCTCTCCCACGGGGTCTGCGTCAAAGTCTGTCCTGCCGCCTCGTCCCTCGATGGAGCCCGATCCGTCGATGTTGCCCCGCCACAACTAGGTGGAAGGCCCATCGACAAATCAAAGTTTAAGTGGGTCCCCATCTCCGAATCCGAAATCCCAAACCCCCTCGCCACACCCGGGGTCATACCCGCTATGACCGGATCCAGCTCCTCTATGAGGAAATGCTGCATGACACGCTCGTCATCGCCCCCATGCTGCACCTCCGCCTGTGCGGCTATCTCCTTCTCCACTGGTCCTGCCACCCCCCCCTCCACTGCAGCTGCCGACGGTGTGTCCTCCTCCTCCACTGCTACTGCCCCGTCCACCTCCACTGTTGCCTCCTCCTCCAGCAGTGTTGTTGCCATCTCCTCCAACACTGTTGCTGCTGCTGCTGCTGCTATCTCGTCCACCGCGGCTGCGATCGTCGCGTCCGCCACCGCCGCTGGTGCCATCCCCCCCTCCACTGCTGCTGCAGATGGTGCCCCCTCCTCCTGCAATATCCCCGGGGAAGGCGATTGTAACTTCAGCTGGCGGACTGCCTTGCCTCTGTGAAGAAGTCCGCGCTGAGGCAAAAAGGACCCCAACTCCTCCGTGTCCGCAGTTGCCGTGGCCGGCTAAAGTGGCGAGACGGGCGATGGTGGTGCATGACTCGAAGCAGGAGGTGGCGGCATGGACGACTCCCGCCTCGTCGTAGTGGGGGTAGTCACCCACGCCTCTGTGCTGCCCGTGGAAGCGACCTCCCCGAATGGGCCCCAAAACTCCTCCTCTCCCCCCAGCATCTCCCTGTCCGCCCGGTTCGCCGCCCGTCATGCAATGCGTGCCCTCGTCTCCTCGGAGTCGGGATCGTCGTGCGTCTCATCGATCTCGCGGGGAATGCGGAGCACAGGGTCATCTGCCACCTCGGGTAACGGCTCCTCGTCCGAGTCGTCCTACCTGGGGTAGGGACGAAAAATGCAAGCACGTCTACCGAAAACGGCATCAGCAGAGGGTGGTGCAGAGGCCCCGATGGGATCCCGGGTAATAAGCGCAACCTGACGGGCAATCTCCTCCTCCGTCATCCCCCTACGCGTGCCCATCCGCACAGGCTCCACCTCGAGTCCTGCCTGGCAATCCAGCATGCCCTCATCCTGCTGCCATGGCAGCACATAACCACATCCAACCCGCCGATACTCCGTCAACCGCACGTTTGCGGTGATCTCAACGAGTTGAACGACCTTCTCGAAGGCCAACTGGTTGCGCTTCTTCGTGTGAATGCCCTCGTGGACTGCCCAGTTTCTCTCCGCTGGAGAGGCGCAAAACCACATGTGCATCACCCGAAGAGCGCACCGCTGCAACTCTGGCGCGCCCGCCCCGAACTGAGACCACCAAGACGCGCACTCAATCGTCTCACCGTCGCCGCTGCACGAGCGCCCACGAGCACGCCCCTCCGCCCCGCCCCAATCCCCGAACCTGCCCTGCTGAATGTGGAAGTCCTCAAACTGTCGACATGCAAGGATGTAGTCCGCACCCTCCAACACGAAACCCGTCTACGTTAGAATGTACCTCTTGGCTTGCCCCACAAACCAAGCATGGTACCGATCAACCTCGCCCGAAAAGTAGCGACCGTGTCGCCTGCGGGGGTTTAGTAAGAACCCTGCGCAGTGAGTTGGCTCAAGCATGTGCTGTGTGCGAGCCTGCACACGCCTGATGATCCGGTCGGTGAACGACTTTCCCAAAGGAGCGCATGCGTCCATGACACGGCAAACAAGATCCTGTGTCCACTCAATCATCAGAGACATGGGTTGGCCGTACTGCTGGTTTCAGCCTATATAAACTGAGGATGCAGTCCGTCACTCTCACATTTGCATGAGGAGTGCTCATGCTGCCCAAGTGAGCTCACAGGAACATCTTTGCACTTGGAGTGAGGAGGGAGGAACCCATGCTAGTGGGAGAGCTTAGAGGAGACTAGGAGGTAGTGGGGAGGACTCTAGAGGATAGTCATGGTGGGAGAGACACATGGGAGGTGATCCGTCATATCCCTCCTGGGTGTAGGAGAGAAGGAGAGGCTAGAGGAACCCCATTAGCCCTCCTAGAGGGGAGGACTTCATAGCCATAGCTGGGGGAGCTTGCCATAGCCTGAGAGAGAGCAATGAAGGAGTAGAGAAGGGCTTCTTCTTCTTCTTCTTCTTCTTCTTCTCCTCCTCCTTCTTCTTCCTCTTCTTTCTCCTCACTCCCTCCTTCTTCCTTCTCTTCTCTCCCCCTTCATCTCCTCCTTCCTCCTCTTAACTTCCACTCTCTTGGTCTTCTTCCTCTTCTCCTTCATCTCCATCTCCCACATCTCTCTCCCCTTCTCCTCCATCTTCTCTTGCTTCACCTTCTATATTTCATGGGCTACTCAAACTCTCCTCTTTCACTTATACACTAGAGGGTAGTACTCCGATTCATTCATAGATGCTTCTTGATACAATCTTGGTGATTTGGGAGCTCCAAACTTGTGTTTTTCACACTCACACTAGTAGGTAGTGTAGCGCTTCACCCATGAGTGATCCATGATACAATCTTGGTGATTTGGGAGCTTCAAACTTGTG